AGACTCTCACCGGTACGGCCTTCTCCCCGCTGGCACCCAGCAGCTTCGGGAGGGTGGAGTATGTTTTCATGGCATCTTGGTACGTAGCTGGATTGTTCTCAAGAGCAAAATCACCATAAAACTTACAACTAAGTTTTTCAGCTTGTGCTTTTTCCGTGTCATCCATTTTGAGAGCTCCTTTCCCCTCTATGGAAACCAGGGGTATCTTTTTAATGATAACGTGGAGGTTTCCGTGTATGTCTTGTACGTTCTCAGATGAAGAAACGTCCTGATCAAACACAAAGAAAGCCTGCGCCCTGTATAGCACAGCCGTGACCACATGGGTGGCCGTGCCTTGGTCAAACACATCAGGGTAAGAGATATTATGGTGCCCTAACTGGCTCATACTCAGCTGCTTAAAGTGTGTGGTAGTTGAGTACCGGAGAGAAACACGGGCTTGATGTTTTGATGTCTTGGTATCACTTAAATATTCTGCGGATCCATTCACTTCCACCAGGCCAGACAGGAAACTGGCCTTCAGCGATGCTGTGACATTGAGGGCAGAGGCCTTGTCTTTAATGGTGTCAGATGCAATAATTTGATAGTCAGTCTTGGGCTGTGGTTCTGCATCTACATGATTTCGAAGTGTTTCCAGGTCCCATAAAGTGATGCCTAGAATAGTACAGACAGACACATGGTAAATGGCAAAGAGGGTAAGAAACCTTTCTGTTCTGTAACCGCAAGACATTGTCTAAAATTAAAATAAGAGCTGAATGTCCCTGAACAAAGTGTCTGATCTGGTGACACGCTTCACTTCTTGTGTCTGTGTGTGAGACGAAAAATAGATTAACATTTGTTTAAAAGTCTAACATAAACAGACAACGATGACTATGCAAAGTTATGATTAAAATGACATTTTTATTGTAGCCTGCTGCACTTAGGGCAGTTTCAGCAGCTGATAATGAGAATACTTGCTCTTATTATCCACATGGATCCAAAGCATCTAACAGATTGGACTAGCTCCTTCTCCAGTTCAATATCTATACACTTAAATTTAAAAAAAAAAAAACCTTTTACATTAAGAAAGTGAACGTTGCAAAGCCAAGCAGTCAAAAGTAAGGTAATGTCATAATTAAAGTTTCCATGCAGCCTTAATTGAGCCACCTTGTGTGTATGCATTCTGGCACAGTCTTTAATTACATGATCAAATAGTGTCTATTCCAGAGAGCTCCTCGTTCAATGCACAGTTGGAATGGTTCTCACCTGAATGGTTATGATCCAATATTTATTTTTATACTACCCATTCAGTGAACACAGAATTGTTAATTTCCTCCTGGGTGACAATCACCATAAGTGTGTCACGGGGCCAGCACGTCCCATCCACCCTTGACCTCGGGGTGGAGTGGCCTAGTGGCTGAAGTCAATGTGGCAGCCCTTACTCACAGGGCTGTGCAGCCTAAGGGCTAGAGTTAATATGGCTGCCTTCTCCCTCAGGGCTGTCTGGCCAGTGAGGAAAGTGGGTTGCCACCTAGGGGTTGATGGCGGCCAGGGTAAAAGGACCCAGGCCCTCCCTAATCCACTGGGACCCCGCCCAGGGCTCTGTCAGTGGCGAGTGTATTTGCCACTGAGTCAGCTGGGATCCGGCTGAAACCCACTGATGTTGCTTTGCTCTATGGCTGGTCCCCCTGAGCTACTTTCTGCCCTGTCTCTTCATGTGGTGGTCTGGGTGTCTCTGGGGTCTCTGGATTCCTCAGCTTGGGCAGTTCCAGGGACTCCGACCTCTCTTGGGCGCCCTCTGATATCCTGGGGTCCACCTGGGTCTCGGCGGGTTTGACTTCTGCGATCTGGAAATTTGGCAGCTCCCGGGCTGGAGCCAGCAACATGCATCTTCCTTCTTCAAAAAGCAACAGATGGTCCTGTGGCACCTTTGAGACTAACAGAAGTATTGGGAGCATAAGCTTTCATGGGTCAGAACCTCACTTCTTCAGTGACTGAGCTGAATTGCTCCCTTTTGTACCTGGGTTCCAGCCAGAGCATGCCCAGCAGGGCCAAGGGGGTGTGGTCTCCTCAGCCCACAGAATGGGATTAACCCCAGCTGAACCAGTGTGGGGCAAGCGTGCCACATCACAAAGTGCTTCAACAACATTAATACACTTTTCTTCACAACACCTCTGTGAGGCAGAGAGGTGTTAATATCCCTATTTTACAGAGGAGGAACTGAGGCACAGAGAGTAAGGACAAAATTGTTAAAAACATCCACTTATTTGGGTGCCCAGCTTGAGAAGCCCAGGGCCTGATTATTTTCAGAGCTTTTAGCAGGTTTATAGCACTTTACATGTTCAAGTGCAGCTCCCATTGACTCCAGTTGCAGCTGTGAGTGCTCAGCACTTCTGTAAACCTGATCAGCCACAGAGGGGAAGAGAGACACGTCTTCCAGCAGGATTTGCAGCTATTTGCCGTCAGCAAAGAAACGTAGGGCCAGATTTTTAAAGGTATTTAAAGATGCATAAAGTGACACAAAGGTGCCTAGTGGGATTTTCAGAAGCCTAGTGCAGCCTTTAAAAAATCTGTCCCCTGAAGCCTGTGTCCAGTGATCAAATATAAAAAGGGAGAGAGAAACTTCCTTTTGCACGGACTTTACAACGCTGCTCTATTAATGTAAATACTTTGCAAGTACAGCAACAGGCCTGTTATGCGTTTCAGTAGGGACATTGAGCAAAGCACGTGTTGTGTGCGCACGAAGAGAAGAGTTTGCTCTCTTGCTGTGCTGGTTCTGTGCACTGGCTGAAACTCAGTACTTAGGGAATAGTCCTAAGTGTCAAGTTGAACTCTTGGGTCCATGTACAGTGGGAGCTGCCCAGGGTCTGTAGTGAATGGTGCAGGGCCTTGGGGAAGGGGCAGGGTAGATCCTGGGTTGATCTTAAATTCTAGATGGTGCTGTGTATTTGACTCTAGGTGGTGCTGTGCATTCTGATGGATTTCTGTTAAGCTTGCGTAGCATTATACAAGGTCGTTGCCATCTATACATTAATCCGCTTGCTACGAGGCGGGGTGTACATTTGATTGTAAGTGTAACCAGAGTCAGGATGAGCTCTACCCTGACATCTGGTGGTGAATTATGGTGAATTATGGCAACTGTGGAAAAGAACCTTGGGCTGATCTTGTTTGCACAGGCACACCCACACGCCTAGCATAAGCCCACAGCAACCGAAAGTGGTTACTTTGGCTGGTGTGGGATCCCCAGTTTCTCCATTATTAGGGCAGGAAGAATAAGGTGTTGTTACCCTGATTATGTGACTCAAGGCCAGTGGAACTGTTGAATGACAGAGGGACTCACCATTAACTAAGTAGCACTCACTAGACAAGGGGCGCGGGTTCCAAAACCCAGTGAATTGAGAGAGGATGGGGGTATGTATTTGTACCTGATGGTATGTCCCCCCCCTTTTGAGGGCCTGAAACACCAATTGCACTGCCTCCTCTCTCCACTGTTGAAGAGCAGAACTAATTTTGATTCTATTGAGAGTCTAGTTACAGGCAGCTATGTGAAATTCACTTTGGGCCAATGGTGCACTAGCAGTGGGGCTCCCCTACTACCAGCTGAAATTGCTAAAGTTACTAAGAGCTGAGATCACTGAGTGCTGTGTTAACCAGTGGGGGAGCCTGAAGCTATATTGCTAAGTGGCTGGTGGAGCAGTTTGCGGCCCCCCGGAATGGCGAGTGGAGTGGTGCAGTTTGTGGGACAGTTGGAGCGGCCCACAGAATGGCGAGCGGCGTGAAGCTGAGCAGTTTGCAGGGATGGCTGGCAGGGTGGAGCAGAGCAGTTCGTGGGGTGGCAGGAGTGGCTCGCGGGACAGCTGGTGGAGAGGAGCGGCTCGTGGTGAAGGCTGCAGTGGAACCCCACGGAGTGGCGGGCAGTCGGCCTCGGGCCATGTAAGGTGCCCCTTAACACCCTGCATGTCCCTGTTTCTCCCTTCCCCTTTCCACCCAGGCTGGGGGGGAGCGGTTAAAACCCTGCAGATAAACTTTAGAACTCTGGGGCTGCACTGACCAGGGGCAGAGACTTTTGGGTTGTTGGACTTTTGGGACTTTGGGTTGCTGGACTTTTGGGATCCTTGGGTTGCTGAACTCAAGAGACTTTTGGGGTGTTGGTCTTTGGGTGATTTTTGGGTTGCTGGATTCAAGAACAAAAGGGAAAGGACATGGCCCAATTTGCTGGGGTGGGTCTTTTGCTCATGGTTTGTGTTATGAATCCTCTTTGTGGTGTGTTTCAAATTTAAGGCTAATGTCGTTTACCTCATGTTATTAAACATTTTCTGCTACACTCAGACTCCGTGCTTGCTAGAGGGGAAGTGTTGCCTCTTAGAGGCGCCCAGGGGGTGGTGTGTAATTGTCCCAGGTCACTGGGTGGGGGCTCAAGCCGGTTTTGCATTGCATTATTGAAACGGAACCCCTAGATACAGAACCCGGCCCTTGTTGCTGCCAACTCAGATGGGCAGAAGGGTTACATAAGCATGGACCGCAGTCGCAGTTTTGCTTTTGCTCTTATTACAATGGATCGTTGGCTCTGTTTGAATCAAGGCCTCACTGTTTGTAATCTTTAGTGAGAGCTGTATGTTGATTTTCTTTTACTGGTGTATGTACTTGTGTGGCAGGGGGCGGGGAGCATAAACCACTGCAGAAACAAAGAAGGGGAGAACCACTGACCTAGAACAAATGTCAGCAGGACCCCAATGCAGGTACCTCCTGCCCCATCCAGTTACTTCAGACCCTGACCCTGGGGGAATGTTCTGAGCCATTTCCATAATAACCATAACCAGGCCACTCAAAGCCCACTTGGCTCATTCTCAGGTATGAATCGGTTCGGACCGTGACCCTTTCTTCATCTCACTCCTGAGTTCAGGAGCTACAGCTGGGGAATTACCTGGGATGAGGGCATCTTTGCGGCAGTTGTACAGCATCCCCAGCTGGAACGGGCGGCCCAGAGCTGGCATCTCAATTGTATCATCTGACCCAGCCATGGTTTAACGTCCAAACACTTTCCTCTGTGTCTCACCTGCAAGAAAAAAATTATGTTACACTGAAGTCCTCCAGGGGGCAGCAGATTCAAATGCTTCTCCTTGGCTGCGGACTTCACACCTCTCCGACCAGGTGAGTTTGGTTCATTACATGGAAGTGTGAGTTTGTGAGCATGGATCTGTGTCACTTCCTGACACACACTCGGGTGCATCGTACTGAGGGCCCAGAAACTGATTCCCAACAGTAACTAGTCCATGCAGGAGCCTGGCAAAAGGGCTAGTTTCACTCCTTTGTGCATCATTTTGATGCTACTGACATGACTGGGGGAGTCCAGTGATCTCACGGTCTAGTGTAAACACAGAGCTCTGGGCAACAGTGAAGGGAAATGTGGGTGTGGAAAGCTGGTGAGCTCAGCCAGGGCAGGATTGCTGGAAGAAGTGGGTTTAAAGGAGAAAGCTGAAGGGAGAGAGAAGGAGATGGTTGGACAGGATAAGGCAGACTGGGGTAGGAGACCATGGAGCCTGATTCTCCACCGCTTTACACCTGGTGCTGTCACTGATACCCCTACAAAGCGAGTATGAAACACGTCCACTCTGGTCTGGTAGCATTTTAAACCCACTTTTGCACAGGTGTCAAAAATGACGCAGGCACCAGGCAGGGGAGAATCAGGATCTAAGCAGTTAGAACCCGAAGGAAGCGGTAAGACGAGGGGACTGGGAGACAGTGCGAGGAGAGATATGGGCAGGGGAGAATCAGGCTCTAAGCAGTTAGAACCCGAAGGAAGCGGTAAGACGAGGGGACTGGGAGACAGTGGGAGGAGAGATATGGGCAGTGGAGAATCAGGCTCTAAGCAGTTAGGACCCGAAGGAAGCAGTAAGACGAGGGGACTGGGAGACAGCGGGAGGAGAGATATGGGCAGGGGAGAATCAGGATCTAAGCAGTTAGGACCCGAAGGAAGCAGTAAGACGAGGGGACTGGGAGACAGTGCGAGGAGAGATGTAGGCAGGGGAGAATCAGGCTCTAAGCAGTTAGGACCCGAAGGAAGCAGTAAGATGAGGGGACTGGGAGACAGTGCGAGGAGAGATGTAGGCAGGGAAGGGAACAAGCAGGGTCTGGAAGGTGAGGACAAGGGACCTGATTCACTGCAGCTCTGCACTTTGTGGAGACACCAGGGCAAAGTGAGCTGACAGTCGATGTAAAATGCTGCCATGTCAGAATGGTCGTGTTTCACACCCACCTTGCACTGGTGTAAGTGACTACACAAAGTGCAGGGCAAGAGTGATTTGGACCCTGAGCTTTTTAAATCACTAATGACAATTTGCCATATTGTTAATACATTTAATTCTGTGCCTGTGCATTTCACACAATGAATCCTGTAGTCCTGCCTACACTACAGGAAATGGTCACCGTATCCAGTAGGTGAGTAGCACAGGGGAAGCTGGGATGGTTTTGTTATTTGGCCAGGAAACAGAATTTCCAGCCCATTAAAAATTTGAGTTTTTGAAAAATGTTCTGTCCTGAATCAGGACCAAAAGCCCCAAACTGGACATTTTTAGTGGGACTAAAAGTCTGATACATTTTGTTTTGGAAATACCTAAATATTCCAGCTGCCCACGCTGCTGTTTCGGTGTCCCTGAAATGCAATGTATTCCCTAGTATCGGGGGTAGCCGTGTTAGTCTGTAGCCACAAAACAATGAAGAGTCTGGTGGTATCTTAATGACTAACAGATTTATTTGGGCATAAGCACCGGACTCCTCATTGTTTTCATGTATTCCCTAGACACACACGGCAACCCAGCAGGAGGAGGGAGATCCTTCGACTAAACTCACATGTTCCCGTGGAAGGTGCTGATCTGTTGAGGCCATCAGAAAAGTTTTGACCAGCTGTAGTTGTGACGTTGCACTCCATACTCTTTATGAAACTATGCTTATGAATATGACATAACTGGAATATGCTTTACACTAAATACCCCTTGTATGGTAGCATTAGAAAGCTTATAATCTACTGCATGTTCATCCTATTTGTATGCAAATATCATTCTTATATCTGAAGTTAGAAGTATAAGATATGAACTTGTATTTCTGATGTAGTCATACCAGGTGAGGGCCGTCAATGGGACATTAAGAACTTGATGGCTCCCATTGACCAGGACAACTGGCTGCAAATGGCCTTGTTTACCTGAAACCTTCCTGTGTATTACTGAAAGAGAGATATGCACAATGTTATATATGCCATCATATGCCAGCAATGCCCCTCTGCCATGTACATTGGCCAAACTGGACAGTCCTTACTCAAAAGAATAAAAGGACACAAATCTGACATCAGGAATCATAACATTCAAAAACCAGTAGGAGAACACTTCAATCTCCCTGGTCACTCAATAACAGACCTAAAAGTGGCAATTCTTCAACAAAAAACCTTCAAAAACAGACTCCAATGTGAAACTGCAGAACTGGAATTAATTTGCAAACTGGACACCATCAGATTAGGCCTGAATAAAGACTAGGAGTGGTTGGGTCATTACAAAACCTAAACCTAATTTCCCCAATACTAATTTCCCCCTACTATTACTCACACCTTCTTGTCAACTGTCTGTAATGGGCTACTCTCTTACCACTTCAAAAGTTATTTTTCCTCCCTTGGTATCCTGCTGTTAATTGAATTGTCTCATTAGACTGACCTCACACTTGGTAAAGCAACTCACATCTTTTCATGTACATCTCTACCCCGATATAACGCGACCCGATGTAACACGAATTCGGATATAAAGCAGTAAAGCAGTGCTCCAGGGGGGCGGGGCTGCGCACTCCAGCGGATCAAACCAAGTTCGATATAATGCGGTTTCACCTATAACGCAGTAAGATTTTTTGGCTCCCGAGGACAGCATTAGATCGAGGTAGAGGTGTATTTATACCTACTCCTGTATTTGCCACTCCATGCATCTGATGAAATGGGTTCTAGCCCACGAAAGCTTATGCCCAAATAAAGGACTCCTCATTGTATATGCACAACTGTTTGCCCCCTGAGGTAACAATTACTACACTGCTCTACTAAGTTCTGCCAAAAATGGTCATCTCTGCTATTACAGTAGCAAGTAGTAGATGTAGCCAGGATGGATGGATAATCCTGATCACATGATGCAAATGTCTCACTGCCCTTATGTCTTTTCTCAGAAAGATGTCAGGTTCCCTGGCCTGAGTAACTGCCTGAGAGAATTTATGCTGGAGATTAGTGTTTTAATCAGAGGTGCTTTGTTTTCAATAAATTACTATGGGGCAGGTGATTGCGAATGATCCCCACCTCCCCAAATTTGAAGATCATTTTTAGTTGGTGGTTCAGCAGGGGTAGCTTTTTACTGCCAAACCACGCAGGCAAGCTGTGACGTTATTGACATAATCTGGGACCATGTAGAACATGGTTGCAACCAAAGTCCTGTAGTGGCACCAAATCTTGTATAAAGGGGGTCAAATGAGGTGTCTAAGACAAGGTTATGGTTTGCTGGTTATGATTCTGCTGTCTATATGTGTGTATCATTTTGTAGTTGAAGTTATGAATATTGGCTCTGTACTGTCTGTATTTCAAATGTATGCTATGCTTCTGGGTCACATCCCAGACAAGTTAGTGTCAGCTCTGCCTAGCCTGCTTGAGGGCCCATTAAGGACCATCAGCTATACAATTGACCCATGGAGAGAAGGCAGATACGCCTTGTACCTCAGCAAAGTATGCAGGAACTTGCCCATATGACTCCAGACTCCATTTTGCTGTAATTTTCCACAGTAAGAAAAAAGAGGTGTTCTTACACCTGGAAAAGACTATAAAAGGCTGATGCCTTATCTCCATCTTGTCTTCAATCCTGCTTCTGACCTCTGGAGGGACTTTGCTACAAACCGAAGCTCTGAACAAAGGACTGAGGACCCGTCCCAGCTGTGGATGTATTCCAGAGGCTTGATTTGAACCTGCAGTTTATTCTATCGCTGCTACAAGCCTGAACCAAGAACTTTGCCATTACTGTATGGAATTGATTCCATTTAACCAATTCTAGCTGTCATCTCTCTCTTTTTCCTTTTATGAATAAACCTTTGGATTTTAGATTCCAAAGGATTGGCATCAGCGTGATTTGTGGGTAAGATCTGATTTGTATATTGGTCTGGGGCTTGGTCCTTTGGGATCAAGAGAACCTTTTTTCTTTTACTGGGGTATTGGTTTTCATAACCATTCATCCCCATAAAGAGTGGCACTGGTGGTGATACTGGGAAACTGGAGTGTCTAAGGGAATTGCTTGTGTGACTTGTGGTTAGCCAGTGGGGTGAGACCAAAGTCCTCTCTGTTTGGTTGGTTTGGTTTGCCTTAGAGGTGGAAAAACCCCAGCCTTGGGCTGTAACTGCCCTGTTTTAAGCGATTTGTCCTGAATTGGCACTCTCAGTGTGGTCCTGCCAGAACCAGCATTGTTACAGTGGTGTAGTCGTGCTTGGATCCACAGAACCAGGTCAATTAAGCTTTGGGTCAGAACCCCCCTCTATCCACATTTGAATTTTGGTATTGAGAGTTTGGTTGGTTAAACAGCAGTTGAAATGGGTGAGCAAAGAGCATGTGAGGGCCTTGGCAAAAAAGCCCTGAAAGATTTGTGTTCAGAAAAAGGGATAAGCTTTAGAAAGAAAGCTACAAATCAAGAACTGAGAAATCTGTTAATAGCCAGTGATCAGGGGGCAAGAGCACAGCCCTTACCTGAGGCTACAGAAGATGCAGAAAAAATTAGAGTGCAAAAGGCAACAAGTAAACTGCAACTTGAGCATAAACGGACTCTAGCAGATCTTCGATTGCTGGAGAAGCAAAAGAATGCTGAATTGGAAGAAAAAGCACGTAAGGGGCGTCTGGAGCTGCTGGCTGCTGAGGAGAAAGCTCGACAGCTGGAACAGGAGCCTCACAAGATGGAACAGGAGACGGCCAGACTTCAGCTCCAAGTAATGGAAGAGCAGAGAAAGTCATCCCCACCTGGTACTCCACTTCCCCCCCACCAGGAAAAAACCTGGGAGAGG